TGAGGAAGAATAGTTAGTCTCGCATTTTATAAATTTAAGAGCAGGGTATTGAAAGTATTTTGAGTCTCAAGGGGAACAAAATAATTGTCTCGGTTTACGGAGTGGTTATTTAACGTATGTCGACCATGGTAGATTGTGGAATAAATATACATCAGCGTTCTTAGTAATGAATGAACTGGGTATGGTCTTGGCGCTCACGATCACGGGACAATAAGTAATTGTCGAATTCAGACGTTTGTCAGTTTGTAGGAGAGAGAACGAATGTTACATCCCGGTATTCAGAAGCGTTGAGAATGAGGGATTTGGACGACGACCACCGATAAATCTCATTCAACCCGCTTTGGAGATCAGTTGATGATTCAGTGGATGGAGTGACGCTGCCTACAACTTCGTCATCCAGTAAAGTCGGGGAAATTGGAAGCATTTGATGTACCAAGAGAATGGAAGGGGAATTACTCTTCGTAAAACGCATGCTGGACGTATAGGTGATAGGACATAATTTCTTGGACCCTTCCTTGTCACGGGAGTTACCCTGACGGGCTTTCAACTGTCGGGTCATAATTCCAAAGTATAGGCACCGTTTACAAAGATCTGTCAAATGCAATGAGACGGTATCGGAACACACTTTGGAGACAACTGATGAAAGGGAATGGACTCACACTCATTCCCATCTCAGATACAGCCGGCGGATATCAACATCTTTATCCCACTCTTCCTCCAATTTGTCCAGATGACAAAGCTAGTCCATTACAAACCAACGGCAAACTAAACAGGATGCCTCGATTCCTGTCGTGTCCCCAACGGTCTCCATACTGCCCTTATCAACAAACTTTCTAATGGCTAACTCGGGCCTACCATAATCGCACTTACCTACCATGTGCACCATGCTCCAACGCAAAGATTCCGACGATCATACAACAGACAGTGATAATTCCCCAATACTTAGTATATTTTCAGTGATTCCGATTAATACCAGATCCATAATCAACAAACTTCATTTTATAAACACATGCACAGTTCAATGACCCACAAGCTATCCTCCTCACTGAAACATGGTGTTCTTCAGGTACGCTTGACTCTACTCTGATGATTCCAAACTACTATCTATTTCGAAAATATCGCTGCGACAGAAAAAGTGGAGGGTGTATTTTATATACCTACGCAAAACATTTAAAGCTAAACCTATAGACCATTCAGAAATGAAAAATATCCCTGAATCTATTTGGCTATCAGTTGCGGGTGTCTTATCCTACACACTGCTCGCGTGTATCTACAACTCACCGAATGCGTCTGAGTGTCACCATAACTTCTGTATTTGACTTCGCATCAATTTGCCACACATCCAGAATATTTTTGCCGACGATTTCAACCTATTGAAAATACGCTGGTCATCCCACCCAACGTCTACCTTGCCCGCTTCTTTTCTTTCTTCCACAATGGATTACCAGTCCAACCAGGTCCGCCAATGTACTGGACTTAATATTCACACTGGGGATACCCGATCCACAGACCGAGGTCTTAAGCAATCTCCCTGGCAGCGATCATAACATGATCCGACTCAGTTTCCGAATTAAAATGGTCACTAGACTTGCCTCTACACCGCTAGTTGCAACCCATAAGATAAACTGGCAATGCTTCCAGCAGTTCATTCGTTTCCCCGACCGGGATGTATTTTTCCCCTCTACCAGTGTGTACACCGCTATGGAGCAGTTTATAAACAAATCCATCATGCTATAGCCCTTCTTGCTCCACAATGTATTCCTGCCCCTCATGTGTTAAAGATTCCGTCGAGCACTTAATCAGCAAGAAGACCAGAAAGTTAACTGCAAGATACTGAATGACCCATGACTTTTCACTTGTCTTGCAAATGCACGAACTTACCACCAGAATCAAAGACGCGTAATTAACACGACGAAATAAATGAAGAACATACAGCCCTACGGACAAGCTGCAAAGCTAGGGAGATTGTCAAAATACTACATCGTAGAACCAGTGACCGCTCTCCTCTGATTACCGAAACTGTTGATGGTGCGCGTCACTTACTCCATGACCCAGCTGAAATCTGCGAAGCATTCAGCGACTATTTTGCCACTACGATGAGTCGCGAAGCTGACCCGGTGCCTGTGTGCAAAGAGCACACCGAAACAAACCTCTTAAGCAGAGACGATATCTCGCTGAACGGTATCCCTCAAGTTATCATATAAATCAGGCCATCTTCCAAGCTGGGATCTGATGACATTTCACCAACCACCATTAAACTAGGAGGACCTGATATACCATTGCTCCTGCTCAGCGCGTTCACTCTATCGCTGGAATCTAGCCACTTTCTAGATCAATGGAAAACGTCATTTATTATGCCTCGGCATAAAGGAGGTCCCAAACAAACGATTGAGAACTACCGACCAATCCACCAGACTCCGATAATCGCTCGGATATTTGAAAAACTGATCAGCAAGGAGATGCTGAACTTGGTTGATTCTATTGGCCTGATCAGTAATTCGCAGCATGGTTTTCTTAATAATCGATCGTGCACCACCTGTCAACTGCATTAGCTTAACTACATTTCAGAACCAATCGATTCCGGCTATGCAGTAGTAATCCTGTTTATTGACATATACCACTCGTTCGACCGAGTACCGCACAATCAACTGTTACAAAAGTTGGAGAACTTTGGGATCCGGGAACCATTACTAGGTTGGCTATCGTCATACTTGAGTGATCGTCATCAGGTAGTCACTTTGGGTGATTATCGCTCTTCCCCATGCTCAATCACCAGTGGAGTCATTCAAGGGAGCGTGCTCACTCTTTTTGCTCTACATCAATGACATCACCACATCTGTAAAACATGGTACGTCATTTTTATTTGCTGACGATGTCAAAACCATTTATAAGCGTCGGCGTGACGAGTTTCATAGGACACTACTGCTCATTCAAGATGACTTACATTCCCTTGAGTCATGGTGCTGCACATGGGTGATGAACCTCTCGGCTAAGAAATAAAGCATCATGTCTTACGGCTGCTGCATCCCCGAAGGATCCATCACCCTAAACAATGAACGCGTCTCTACACAGTTGTCCACGCGAGATTTTGGAAGTAGGTACTCGTCTACCTTCAATTTTTCCGAACAGGCCGAATCCAAAGTAGCACGTACCGGACAGTCTATGTTTAATATATCAAACAAAATACCCACAACTCGTGCTAGAGTCGAGCTTTTCAGGCTGTTCATTCGTCCCATCCTCGATTACTGCAGCATAATATACGGTAATATGAGAAAGAGTGACAGAATTGCTGTGGAGCACCTGCAGAGGTCATTTAGTAAACATCTGATTTGTAAACACTGCAATGCTTTATCAAGAGTGTTGCAATGAGCTTCATCTCGAACCACTTTGCACTCGGCGATTGAAGCACAACTTGTTGCTGCTTTTCAACGTACTACATAAAAAGACTTATTCCAACCTGCCTACACACAATTTACAACATTGCTCAACTCGAGAGCTTCGCAACAAAGATTTTACACTGAATATACCGAAGGCTAGAACGAACATCCACTCTAATTTCTTCCTGGTCAGCTATAGCTATCCGTGGAATAAATGCTCAAGTCATGTGACAATGTGGCAACATTTAGAAGCAGACTACCATAATCTCCTTATTCACATGGGAAAATTCCCTCGATGAGCTATTCCAAGTGGGGCCCAAAAACATCTAAACCCTAATGTTTTCATTACTAGGGTTTGGCCTCAACCATCCGCAAGAACGTTACTACATCGAACGCATATCCCAATACTCCACATATGCATGTCACCTATGCAAGAGCATGGATACTTCTCTACAAATTGATCTGTGTCGCTATAAACACGGTTTCTCTTATCAAGAGAAACATACTTATTATTATTATTATTATCTCATTGGAATTGCTTGAGAATACCTGTACCTCCGTGTGTAGATGTGAGGATTGTCCTGTTCTCCGAGCCGGACATTTCTATTGCAGCAGAAATGCCCAGCTCGCAGAACAGGACAATCCTCTCAAACATCTCATTACTGCGTCGGTATCACTAGGAATTACAGAGCCGCCGACCCGAAGCCCACGTTGGTCGTTGATTGAAAAATTGGGGAATTTATGTGGAAGAATAGGACGTCGACTATGACATGGAAAATTTTGAGAGTACAGTGCTGATGTGATTTAGCGGAATGGGCTGTGCATGTATTCATAGTGTAGAGCACGTAGAAGTCGAGTTTTGGTAGTAGCTCCCTTGCAAGCAGAAGTTAAATAAACTAAAATGCCAACCAGGTTGGGAATACCTACAAATAATGAATCGAACTTAAGTAACCTAATAACTTGAAGGAAATAGAGACTAATACGGTGAGCAACGTTCCCATTCTCTGCTCGCTTTGAGAAAGAAAGAGGGGCCTTAACAATACTTTGGTGTGCAGTGCCGACGCTTCGTTGCCGGCCAACTACCACCAGTCACACGTAGGCTAAGGATACTGCGAGGGTCGCCCGGTCCCTTTTCGCAGGCTCGGTCCCGTGCCCTCAGATTACAGGGCAGGTATATGATCCTTAAGAATACGGGCCGGCTTCACTTGAGAGGGTAGATACCTTATATTAAGTTTAAACACGTAGCTGATGAATGTGGCAGAAGAAAAATTCCGTGCTCTGATGCGCGCGAATGAATTGCATGAAGGAACTATTGTTAATAATATTTGCTACGCCTATCCTAGGATATGACTTATCTTTTGCTGGTTAAGCAAAACCTGCATTTAGGAGTATATCTTTGGGTCTCTAATTCTTTTCCATTGGCCAAACACCTCAGCGAGTAATTTTTGTGATCCAATAGCAAAATAAATTCTTTGTTTCGCCACTTGGACTCAACGCTATGCGTTTTGATATCTGTAGCTGCATATACCACAAAACGTTTTTTAACTCGCTATCAGCAAATAAAATCGACCATTTCTCTGCGATTTCCCATAGAAATAATCGGTCTCATCTCATCCTTCCTAGAAGCAACTGGGGTGAAGCGGGTTCACAAGGACTTAGGCCCGTTGGCATTGCCGCCATCAGCATTTTCCGCCAGTTCTGTGTACAAAAACCTATCGGAACATCAAGCCCACAAGGCAAAGTGAGTCTTCTTCACTTTATGTCTCACTCGTTTTGACGGAATTTGGCTGATTTAGCTTTAGCTATGCGAGCTTTCTCCGGACTTATCACCTACACACCAATGACTCCTTTTAAAATGTATATGGCCTACTTATCATTTCTTTAAATAGGTTGTGTGCGGAATAGTAGTTACGGTAGTGACAGCATCTTTCGCCTAGCGAAGTGCTTTATTATTGTATCCTTTTTACCCTCGTCACGCTGTGATTCCTTTGAACCGAACTGCCTTGTAGATGTCCCCGGTACTCCTTCCCGCTTAGCAGGCGGAGGCATCGCGATTGTCTGGACTTGCTCGCCACTTTGCTAGCGCTTTGTCTGCTCTACTTTCTAAACAGTACTCCTCGTTCGCCGAAGCTGACCACCATAATTTACTCTTCATTCTCCTTGGTCTAATTTAACATGGTTGTGTGGGACTATTTGAAAATAAGCCGCACTTGAGTTAGTATACTGCATTCTGCATCGCAATATAAATTACTTCAGTATTGCAACCAAGCGAACTGCTTCCCTGGCAACTGCACACTACTTTATGCGTGTCACCTTTGACGTAGATGCACACTTTAGCTTCTGGCCACCGGATTGGCGATCCGTATATCCACGGTGGAATGCTCAGCTTCGTGCTGGTTTGTTATCAACAGTCGCCTTGTGGCAACGATCAAGCAATCAATTGTGGGAAGTGCAGTTTGTAATTAGTGATGGTCTCATCATCAAGGGTGGGTGTTATCGTTGGGCAAAACCAGGCGTAACAATTTATGCGGGAATGCAGTTACATAGCCAAGCAAATGGCCCCACGAAATTTCGCTGGGTGGTACGTTTGTGAGCATTGTTATTAGTTAATGTGGTCGCACACTTTTCCGTATACTGCGTGTTTCAAGTGTCTGGATGGTCAACTGGGATGGCTCCACTTGAGTCAAGTGTTTTGGGCTTCATGCAATGGGGTTCGGTCACCGGCTATCTACTATACTGCAGCCTCCTCGATTCCTGTCATTATGTACGGGGATCTCACTCAATTTTCTACTACACTTGACAACTGACCAGTTGGATCCACGGGTAAGTAACTTATACAGCGCGCAAGTAGGCTTAACATAATGGTCTCATAATTAGAGTACATCCTCCAATTAGTTCTAAGATTTGTAGATATGCCAACACCAGTTATAACAAATGTGCCGCTATGTCACAGGCAGTGTTCATTGTACTTGGTGGCAGTTATCCGAAAGGTAACTTTGTCGGATGGAATCAGGAAGTAGGGTGCTCTGGCACTTTGCGCATAACGACATCAGTAACCCTGTGGTATCGCTATCAGTATAATATGTGGAAGCTCTCCTATGACAGATATTTCACCTGCTTCATTAGCATTAGTTGTCCTCATGAGATGTGCGATTGTCAGAACGACAACGAACCGTATGCGCAAAATAATCCGTGTTTAAAAGCGGCCTGGGACCCCATGTTCGCCGCAATTCCCTACCAAAGTTCACTCGAATAAATTTGTTACGAATACTACCAATCATACTGGAGACATGGTCTTGTCTATTACTTTAGTGTTATGTACCAAGTTGTTACCTCTCGCACCGCTTAAAGTCATTCACCGGTCACCGAAGGTGACTGCTTTTTTTGAACGGTCACTGGACGAAGGAATTAGTTCTGTCAGTCGGTTCAGATCGTTAGCTTTGATTTCTCCAAGCTGGTCTATCAAATCGATTAGGCTTCAACGTAGGGAACTATTCATATGTCTTTTATGCGAAATCTGGTGGCGTAATTCCGATTTTGCCACGAAACCGAGGACCGATTAAATTCATCGGCTAATTACTCGCTCATGCATCCGTTCCTAATTTCGCCACAACAAAACTGATATTCGTTCGGGACATTCGTTAGACTCAATCCCTTATTCCACCTAGACGGACAAATCTGCAAATCTTTCCGGTGGGTTGCATAAACACTCCAGCACTATCTGCTCACACAGCTGGTGTGCACTATGGCTACTGTGAGCTGTCGGGTAGCATAAAGCGACTATCACTATTCCGCCCTCAGTCAGCCACAAGTACCTCCAACGGCAGTTGATCGCGTCGTCTAGAGCTGTAACATTGTGGTGCGCGAACCCGATTACTTTTGGCTTTTAAGGCCAAATACGCAAACCAACAATGTAGTCTATTCTTCTTTAGTATGGGTACCTTTGGACACATGTTGGACTACACTTGAAATCCTTCACTGTGTCCGGGGACAACGTGAAAGAAACAAACTTGTGTAAGGCGGTGTCGAATATTGTGAATCACTAGGCTTCATCTGCTCTAGTGCATCGAGTGCATGTTTCGCATGGCTAATCATCGTTGGCGATAATCGTTGGTTTCCCGGCCAATCGAAGGGCAGCACATCCCTCCGAAAAGTTATGGGCATGAAAAGAGGGCATCGATTCTTTATATATATATATATATATATATATATATATATATATATATATATGTACTCAACACATGACCGAAAAACCATTGGCAGAGTGCACCAACACATGGGTATCAGCAAAAAGACGGAAACTAATTGGGATAAATGAGTCCAACAACACGTTCGCTTTTGGGTACGACTCCAGGCCATATCCGATAGCGTTTCCAACAAAGTGTGTTCACTATCCTTGGGCAACCAAACCGGAACCTGGAATGCCTCACTGTGGCCAACTGCAATGTCAGCGTCTTGGCTCCTAGGGATTAGATTGTGTGTTGGCCACTTTTCTGTCGCTTCAAATCAATACTGACGCATGTAAGCAAAGTGCGGCGGTGTAACCTATGAGTAGGCCTACGGAGGACGTGTCCGAGCTACCGGAGTACAAGTAAGGAAATTGTGCGACTCGGTAATCTATTAAGTTTGTTTGGCTTGTAGATCAGAACTCGGACGTCGTCATTACTATGGTGGCTCTGCTAAACTGCACCAATCATGCTCCGGCGGCAATCGTGATAAAAGCAAACAGTCTGTGGACATCGCTGGCTCGAACGGGTCTCGCAGCCGTACAGCAGCGTTGTTCTTATCATAACGCTGTAGTCGACCTTTTAGCGAAAGGCAGAGATGACGCCGGCGCCAGCCATGTTTGGCAACGTTACGACTATCGGACGTAGTCGCAAAGGCCACTTTGGCTTCGAAATTGCGCAAGTTCTTCACATACATTAATCCACTCCACGATAACGCAAATGCTTAGGTAAACGAACTTGCCAAATATTTCCAAAGAAGCAACGGAGAGGGCGAGGGTAGAAGCAGCTGCCAACCAGTCCTGGATGTAAACCTTGCACTTGGAAGGGGCAACCATCATTCCGAACTGTGAAACAGACATATCTGACTTGTGCAGCATGTCCCGGTCAGGCTGTAAAAAGTCACCGTTTACGGCAATTCGCCAGCATACTCAAAATCATGAAGCCGATCGCCCGAGAGTAACCCAACATCAACCGGCCCACAGTTTTCCAGAGCAACATCTAAGGCATCATCCATAGCGAAGTTGAACAAGAAGGGTGATGCGAGATAATCCTGTCTGAAGCCAGTGGGGGGGGGGGGGGGCGAGAGTCGGATATACACCCTCACTCGGCCCGAGGTTTCAGAGTGAATGGCAGGAATTGTCCGGTGGTCATCCATTAGTTAAACACGTCTAGTGGAAATCTGTCGGTTGATGGTGGGCACAGCGAAAGCACAGATGACGCTGGCTGGCTTATGCACGGTGTTATACTCTTCTCACTAGACGCAATTCCAAAAATAACAATTTACTGCTCCACAAAACTTCTAGCCCAACGGAAGGAAAAGAGCAAAACGCCAATGACTTCGACAAAATAACGTATAAATCGCCGCCAACGAACACTGTACAACTACTGCGGACCTTGGCTGTATTTACAGGTCTCTTACTGACCTTCGACTACTAGAATTGGAAGGTCAGCTACCAAGGTTAGTGGTTCCCCATATCTTTTGCCGAGGTGTCAGGTGGCTTTTAATCACGTGCAGAACTAGAACATTCCGGAACGTTCGAAATCGATACAATAATTGTTAATAATCGATTAATCGCTAAAATAGTGGATTTCCAAGGCAATTCTTACTTTCTCCCGGACACACGGTACCCCGGATTTGTGTCCAGTGCGCTTTAATATATGGGAATGGAGGGTACTTCAGACTAGAAGCAAATGAGTTCTGGAAGGCACTGAGAATATTTCGTAAGACAAATTTGGCTACGTCAAGCCGTTTTCGACGAACCCGTTGGGTGCCATCAAAGCGAAGGAAAGGGTGTGAGCAGAAATGAGATAGGTATTCCAACTTGATTTGTAGTCTATTACACAGCCTTGTTAACTGTAACTGATGGCGATGTGATTAATCTGCCTCCATGACTTTCCAGACGAAGGGGGTTGTCACGTGACACGCTGGAGCAAGGATTGCAGAAGGTTTGGGTTCGATAGGAATAAACCGTGACCAGCGTAGAGCCACAGAGGGCGTTCTGCGTGATCCGTCCTGTGGGTACTATGGCCACGTGGACCATTGAGGTCATGTTCATCAGCTTCGAGCCTACAACCTGCGCGTCTAAGTCTCCGGCGTACGCAACCATATCCGCGCGGTATTTTTTATGGAGGTCGGATGTTTGGCGATATAACACATTTTACCTGAGCCCGGGCTGCAATCCAGGGTAGCACACGCCACCATAACAAACAAACAGCGTTTAGTAGCCGCACGGATGAACAATCGTACGGAGCTTTCTAGCCGAATACCACAGGGTCAGCTGTTAATTAGGATCCAATCGAATGGCGCTGCTTCTGCGCTCGCACTGAACGCAACTCCAACACCTACCAGCCCCGCGGCTTCAGCATTTGCATCTCTGGATAAGCGTAGTGTAAATGTACCGTGGGAGCACACTAATGATATCAATCGTACGGCAATGCTGGAGTCCTATAGATTACTCTCATGGAGACAATAGACAGAGATTGCAAGGATTTCCAGGCTGCGAGCAAGAGCTAC